AGTTTGAGAGCGCATTAAAGAAGCTGCTAGCTAAAAGTTATTGTTGCAACATTATTTTTTTTGTCTGACATGCTAAGGTTAGCAACTGAAAGACAAGTGAAAGAAGCCTTCTGTCAACCCGGAACAACCATTTCTAACCGAAGGATACAACACTAGGGAGCCAGACACTTACTATGCAGTCCTGACATACTGTACCTCCCAAGGCAATTTAACACCCATCTGCACCTTGACGCATGAGACCCTAACAACCCACATGATGAATGGGTGGGGCAACAACCTGTTAGAAAGTAGATACAGTGCAGTAGCGTGTATCACAATGAACCCATAAGGCAATCACAATGAACACAGATTCACTGAAAGGTCATTCATTCAAGACAGGCCCACCATATGGGAATATTTTAGGAGCAATGGCACAGAGGAGTCATGCAACAGAAGTTCAGTGTGTGTTTATTTGAACTTTCTCCTTCAAGCCAAAAGTCATAGTGCAGAGATGCATTATTTCATTATTTATTAATACCTGTGTGAACAAAGTAAATATACTGTCACAAAGTTAACAATTTTATCTTTACACTTAATAAAATTTTCCTCATAAATAGTGGTGTAATTACTATATAATTTAAAATTCTATTCAAGGTAAAATGTGCACATCGTGCACATTTTACTATAAGGTAGTGCAGCCATGCAGTGAGTGTGATTATGTCACTCATCCACATAGTTTAAATGCCAAAACTTTGCATTTTAGCTAATTGCCTGGTAAAAGGTCAATAGGCATTTGAATTGTGATACATGATGGGTATTCATTAGATGTGCTGAGAGCTGCTGGTTAGAGCAGTCTTGGGCTTAGCCAATGTTTTGTTTCTCAAGAGATAGCTTATGAAGTCCATTTGTGTTGAGGACAATGCTCTCACAGCAGATTTTTTTTTATTGCACTAAAATAAAGAACATTTAAACACATGTTGCTGAGATGCTTGATTCATTTTATAGAACAGCACATGCATTTTAGCTTGGGACCATTTGGTTCAAGGAGTTTAGTGTGCGTTGTGCAGCAGCACACTTGTGGCGTTTTTTTGCAGAACACTTATTGGCACACTTGGAAGCAGTGTGTGATAAGGAGTAATCATTATCATGCATTCATTGACAGTTAGTTTGCTAAGGGTTGGTTTGGGACTAGCAACTGTTATGATGGCAGCATCAGCTCACATCAGTTCTTCTCATCCCTTTAAAAGCTACATTCTCCCCACCATGAGGCCCTGAACGTCTAGCTATGGACTGACTTATCGCTCTCTGCCACTCTTACATAAAAGCACAAGTGTTGCTAAGTAATGAAGAAAAGAAAATTGATTCTTTCTGATTATGTCACCAAATATTTCTTTGGCCAGGCATGTGTATCTTTTGTTATTTTCTTACGCTGAATTTGTGGGTTTACACAAAATCACAAAGTTGTTAAATAAAAAAAAAGACAAACTTCACCAAGGGGAATGTTTCCTTGTAACCATTGCCATATAAAATACAGTGCACACGCGTTCTGGATGTGCATACTCCAGTTAAAATTAGGAATTTAGCACACATTAATTCTTTGAGGATATTTCATGTTTACAGG